ACCTGGGGGCTGGATTTAAAATCTTTGAGTTCTATATGGACAGGAAACCAAAATTTCAACTTTCTGGCTTTCTGGTTCCCAAGTTAGCAATTTTCCCGTCAAAACTTTGAGGCGCTCGTTCGCGAGGCCTTAGAAGTGCGCCAGGATTGGTACCGCAGTCCTGGGGTGGCACTTAGCCGAGGAATCCACTCGCAAAATTTTGGCGCCGAAGCTTGCTTGGGTGCCGAGTTGAAGCACCCGGACAGACGCACACACACACGCACACACATGCACACACACGCACACCGGGGTCGTCGCAATATGTGTTTTCGCATTTGCATATATGCAAGAACGCACAAAAACTTAACGAAGTGAATCGAGTAAATGTAAAATGAACTGTCATGAGTTTTTTTTTTTTGTATACTTTATACAAACCGTGTTCCAGATAACTGACAGTAACTCTGTGTGGCAATTCATTAGTAGTTTAACTCTACGTGGTCACTGGGCCGAACCAGGAAACCGAATAATGTGGAGTGCATTGGAACGCCAATTCTTTGCAACGCAGCAAGGGCCAAGGGCTGCTACGGGCAACAGTTTCAGACGTCTGAACGCACAACTTCCCCAGACGTCTTCGTCCACACAGGTTTAATTATTGCCTTGACGTCTAAACTACAGCTGCTTGCAACGCTGATGCGTATTTTCATTGCTGCGAAAACACAGTATAGTTTGGCAACAATTCGCATGCTTCTTAAGCACGAAAACGCATTTTGTGAGAGTTCAAATAACAAGCCCTACTTAGAAGCCTCAGTGTGAATCTGGCGCAAATGGTTCCTTTGGTTACAGAAATGTTGCAAGTGGCAATGCAGCATCTTGTGAAATATTGTAAAGCATAAGCTGAGCACAAGTAAAAGGACAAGAAATTCTTATGGCTGATAGTGTAAGTTAGCATAGCGAATCATCCTGGAATCAAAACACAACAGCGCGGTCAGCGAAACTCACATCAAAGGCAGTTTAATTTGGCATGACCGGACAAATTTCTGTTCGACAAACAAGTAAAGTAGAAGGCAGTACGGGCCGTAAAGGCCTTATAGGCAAAAGGAAAAGGCTAATAAGCTGAGGGACATGAGGGTAAAGACCAGGAAGGGCAGTACCTGCCCTATAAGGTGACTATGAATAACCCGTCCGTAGGACGGCAGTTGTCCGGAATGCGGTAGCCAGTAAGTTTGTAAAAAAGGGAAAGAAAACTAAAATAAGATCAAGAAGATTGTAGTGTTGTGTATGTACAGAAACCGTATGTCATGTGAAAAAGTCAAGTTGAGAAGAAAGTATGCCTGTGTTTCATCCCTAAGCTGTAAACACAGACAGTTGGAGAGGTGATTAAGGGCGGAAATCATCAGTACAACTCAAAAATAATTGTGTTTGCAACAAATGCAATTAGAATAAAAATTTCTTTCAATGGATGGAAAGTGGCTAAAAAAAACTCCATGTCTGATACCGTAGTGGAAGTATTACAACTCTAAAATACTATAAATGTCGAATTTTGACAAAAGCTGTTATTTACAATTAAGCACTGGGACGAAACAAAGATTAGCAACAGCATCATTTCTAGGCTAGATTCTAATAAACCCGTCTTCTCATTCCATCCTCACGCCATGACCAAAAAAGACGACAAAGCTACGGAGTTTTAAGCTGAGCTCAGACCCACATTCAACATCAAATTTAATTACGTCTTCGTTATAGGGGACGTCACAGCAAAATTTGGGCAAGGGAAAAATGATGAAAAGTAAATTTGTGAATACGAAATTGGAAAAAAAAGTGTCTGAAATAGTAGCCCACAAACGATGGCTGATCCGAGCAAGTTCTTTGTTGAGAACACCTGGCCCCGAAACTGAAGAATGGATATTTGCATGGCTTACATCAAATGCAAAAGAAAGAATAGTTAAAGGGAACACGAGATGTTGCGGGCAAGAATATCCCAGCTGCTGAAAGAATAGTCGTGCAAGCAGCGTTTTGGCCAAAAAGTCCCAAAGGGAATCGTTGGAAAAGCGATGAAGCAACGGGATAGGAAATCACTGCACCATAATAGTGAATGAAGTCAACAAACAATTTGAGAGCGGGTGAAGTCTCACTGAAAACGTAAAACCAGCTGATGTAAATGCCTAAGTCTTGCTTATGGGTATGGCGAGTTTGGACGTGCGTTTACCAATAAGCACTTTTATGTAATTTATGATTGTTTCTCACGATTCGCAGTGCAACCCCCTTTTCGGCTTTACATGCAAGAAGAGATAAAAACACTGCCAACATAAGATAGAGCGACAGCCACTCATACTGTTAACTATTTGGCTGCTTCCAGATTCGAACAAAAACGCATGGTCACACTGGCAAGCGCCGTTGCTTTGACATTCGGCTTTAGCATTTTAACGTGATAGCATGCAATTAAAGTGGCCGTATTAAGAAACTGATGAGCACATTTTTGGCTTTTATTGCAGCATGCCTGGCATGTGATAATAAATGTTGCTATGCTAATTATGCGTTTTTGCCTATATGCAGATCGCAAAAACGCATATTGCAATGACCCTGTCTGTGTGTGTATGTTCGCGTGTTGTGTGTGTGTGTGTATGTGTTCGTCTGTCCGGGTACTTCAACTCGGCAACCAAGCAAGTTCCAGTGCTAAGATTTTGCTAACGGGTACCCTCGCCAAGTACCACTTCAGAATCGCGGTAGCAATCCTCACGCAAGTCTGGGCCCCGCGTACGAAACAGTGAAAGTTTTGGCGGGAAAAATGATAACTCAGGAACGAGGAAAGATAGAAAGCTGAAACTTTGGGAGTATGCGCCCATACCATGCGCGACCCTCCCGTTTTAATAT